TACTGCAGACCGAGGCGGGGACCCAGGTGGGAGGGCCTTCACACGACCGCTTCTCGGGGACCCGAGTGGGCTCCGGTGACGACTGTCTCCTTAATTACCCCCCAAGTCCCCTTAAGGAACGGCTCTAGTCTCTGGCCTCTGCCTCACTCGGGTCCCTTCCTGTACCTGCTCGGTGACGGCCAGCTGGCTGCCCTGCTGGAGCCTGTGGGAACGACCTCCACGTCCTCAGGTCACCTGGTGGCTGCCCGGTCTTGCAGGCTGGGGAAGGAGGCTGCTGCCCTCCGTACCATGGTGCCTCAGGGCTCAGGTGACATGGGCTGCAGGCAGGCTGTCCTCCACCACCGTCCTACCACCGAGGGGGCACGAGAGCCTTCAATGTCCGTCCCATTTGTGGGTCTCACCGGCAGGACCGAGTCCCCACCCACATGGTTTAACAGAATCTCAGTGAGTTACAAATGAATGAAACTTGGAGGTTTCACGTCAGCCTCTGGATTTCTGGATATTCCTCAAAACATCAGAAGAATCTGATGCACGCAGCCACGACTGGCCGGGACCCGGTGCTGGCTCCTGCGCCCTGCGGAGCGCCAGGCCCTGCCCTCAACGTGGTCCACGAGGGTGGGGCGGGTGGCCTTGCTCCCAAGCTGTGCTTCCTGTCCAGCTCCTACAGGAGCACGGCCTGGGTGCTCTGATTGAGAGCCTTCCTGGAGCCCATTGTAACTCCTTTGCAGTTTGATTTGCAGACTGTTAACAGTGAGGAGCTTCTTCCAACCCTCTGCGTGGCGTATGTGTGCGCCATGGCCCCGACGTCGAGACGCACTGTCCTGGGGAAAGCCCAGCTCAGACTCCCCTGAGTGTGGGTGAGAGTCCACCTTTGGGTCATGGCTTTTCTGAGCAGGTGGAACCAGGGCTGGGCAACCCAGCTCCGACCTGTCAGTCACTGTGGGGTCCGGCCTCTGTGCAGGTGGTAAGAGACACACTGCCCAGTGTGCCAGGGCCTGGTGGCTCTTTCCCTCACTCGCAAGGTGAACGTGACTCTCTTCTGGGGCTTTGGTGGCAGCCTGTGGGTGCCAGGGAAGCAGCTCCATTGGTGCGGGCGGGTCCCAGGTCCTCACAGTCCTCCGCCGAGCCGGTGACCCCTGTTCTCTGCGTTTATGACACAGGAGACGCCTTGAGTCCTACAGTCCACTGGACATTCAGTCTTTTATTTAGAAGGTAGACTGCCCGTGAGGACACGGCCCGTTCCCCTGTCAAGCAAACTTAATGGCTTTTGAAATGGGTCTGTCGAGCTTAATTAAGAGAAATCCACGTACAGTGGTGGGTGTTGAGCCTCCAGGGAAGGAGGCGAGGCCGCGCAGGGGAGCCACGTAGGGGGCCTCCCCACGTAAACAGTTTAGACCCCGTAACTTTCCCAGCCCGTGGCCCTGGCGAGGAGGCCAATATATCGCACTATAAAATCACTATATTGCTTTGTGAAAGTTACACTCAATTTAATCAGGAAAAGATGCTGTACCCTGTGTTGGTGAAACACTCTTCACTGTTCCGTAACAGAAAGAAGGCGAGGAATGAACTTCTCCATGTGCTCGCCGACTCCGTTAGAAGACAAATCTAATCACCCGAAACGGCGACAAACAGACTGGACCCTCTGTGCCGATGGTGGCTGAGGAAGAGGCCACATTTCTGGTTTTGCCAAGAGCTGAGCCGTGGTGTGGGCATCTGCGTCTGCTCTGACTGTGCTACAGCGTGGTGCTCGCGGTCAACGGACGTTGCGCCACACTGAGCCCTCACCACCAGAAATACGGGAGTGAGGTTGTTCACCAGAAAGGTTCAGACCCCACAGGCAGACGGTGGCCTCTGAGTCCCCAAACTGGAGCAAGCTACGGCAATGCACGGCGGTAATTCACAGGTTTGTGCAAGGGACGTGCGTGAGTCCAAATGGAATTTGATGGCGTTTGCCAATACTTGGGCCATCTTCTTGGACGGCTGGCTGACTCTGCAGGGGTCTTTCCCTGTTCCCTTCCCGGGGTCTTTTCAAGGGATGCTAGTGTGTGAGCTGATCAGCGGGAAGAGAGGTGACAGAAGGGGACCTCAGACGGCTCCTTGCTGGACTCAGCCTCTGGAGCAGACCCGGAAAGCTGTGAGCACCGTGCTCCTCGAGTTTCGAGGAGCATCTGCCCCTGCGCGGTCTGAGGAAAGAGAAGAGCCTTCTCCCTTCTCAGAGGATTTTCACTCGAGGAAGGTTCAGGGGGCACTGACCTCATGCTAAACGCCACACGTTCAGAGAACTCGGGACGGGACAGTGCTGGCGGCATTTTCAGATAGAATTTCCTCATCTGATTTCAGGAACGCCAGAAAACTTCCCGTAAACATCTAGACTGAAGATACAGCCAAGCAGATCCTGGGCTCGCCTACAATAAATCCCCGAGATTTCCCCTTCACGCTGCATGTGCTCCCATGAGCCAGGCGGCCCCCTCACCCCTGGACCCCAGGGGCCTCCCCTCCACCCTCCTGCTCACCCCGTTCTTGGAGAGACAACTCGTCTTGGTATACAGAATATTTCCCCAGCAAATGGTTCTGTTAAAAATATTTTCCAAACATATTTGATTGTAGAAGTTTTTTGCCTTCGCATTTTGAGATGCACTGTTTGAGGAAATCCTTTGGGTTTACGATTTCCATTTTCAGATGAAAGGTCATTTCTAACATGATTCTTGGACTACGGATCTGGATTGTAGAGTCAGGAAATCCCGGTTGGCTTCCGTGAAGTTCAGGCTACTGTTTGGATCCAGAACATTCCCCGGAGGCTCATGTGTGGAAGGCTGGTCCCCGGCTGGTGGAAACTGCAGGAGGCGGCCCGGTGGGAGGACATGGGTTACTGGGGCAGCCCCGGGAAGGCAGTGTTGGGACCCCAGCTCCTTCCTCTCTCTCTGATTCCAAACCTCCAGGAGGTGGGCACCCCTGCCCCACCGTGTGCTCCCTGCCCAAATGCTGTGCCTACCAAAGGTCCAGAAGCCATGGAGCCCAGTGACCACAGACTGAGGCCTCTGAGGCCCTGAGCCAGAACCAACCTTTCCTCTTTTAAGCTGTTTTTCTCATACTGTTTGTCACAGCAACGGAAAGCCGACCAACACAGACACCTTCTATAAATGCTCGTGGAAGTTTGGGAGGCCGAGGTTTTGCCATTGGGATTTTGGCTCCATCTCTGGGTGCCTTAATAGGCTTCAAGACGCAGGCTCCATTTTCTTGGCTGGAGTGTTGGCACATTCTATTTAGGCTATTTTGTTAAAATTAGTTAAAATTTTTTTTTAGTTGTAGATGGACACAATACCTTTATTTTATTTACTTATTTTTATGTGGTGCTGAGGATTGAACCCAGGGCCTCAAATGTCCTAGGCAAGTGCTCTACCACAGAGCTACAACCCCAGCCCTCCTCTCAAGTTTGACTGGGGTTTCCTCTTAACTAGTCAGACCCTGGGACCTGCTGCACTGGTGTTCTCCTCAGAGGCCCTACCAACGCACGCTGAGAGGACATTTGGGGGACACAGATACACTTGCGAGAGGCTGCCCCAGTGAGAGGACTGTAAAGTACCACTGTGACTTTCACAGAAAAATCAGAACTTACGAGAGACTCCCTCTCCCCGAGCATCAGCTGACCAAGTCTCCAAAAGGGATGGACAGTACTCCCTTTGGGGGGGGGGGGGGCGAGTCTCTGTGTACCACCCAGTGGCCCCTGTGGAAGTCCCCTGTGATCTGACATCCCGTCTCCCTGGGTGAGGAGGCCGAGGAGATCCGAGGCGTGACGGAAGGCGTGACGGTAGGCGTGACGGAAGGAGAGACAGGAGTCCTGTGTGGCATGCGCCTGAGCAGGGCACCCTCTGGGCCTGGTTAAGGCTCATTCAGTGACAACAAACAGCAGAGAGCACAGCAGGTGTAGAAAGAAGTTCTCTACCACTTTAATTGGGCTGCCCAGCACTGGTCACACAGGTCATTCAGGGGCCCAGCTGCTCGCACGCAGCCCTCCCACCTCGCCCACAGAGGAGGTCTGGACACTCCAGGGAAAAGCAACCCGGACACAGGAGGAGGCGCCCGGTGCAGCCTGCCGCCACGGCCCCGGTGGTCCGCGATGCCGGACCGCGGGTGGGACCACAGGGCGCTCCTGCAGGCTGGAGAGCGACAGGGAGCCCCCGGACGCTGTAGTTGGGGACCTGTGAGTCCAGGGCTCTACGTCCTACCCGCACTCTGCCAGTTTTAACAGCAGGTGGAGCAGCTCCCGCGAGAGTCCTCCGTTTCCCATCAGTGGAAAAGCTAGTAGTTCTGGAAACGGTCTCCTGGAGAGGTTAGAATGGTTACCATATATCAGCTGGATATAAATAGGTTATGTACGCCAAGCTTGCATGCTAAGATTGCACAGGGCGGAGGGCAAGAGGACAGGGCGCTGCGCGGCCTCGGCCGTCCAGCAGAAGTGGGAGGAGGCCTCCAACTCAGGGCGGCCTCCAGCCTCGGACTCCCGGAGTCCACCTGCAGCCGCCTCTCAGGGTCACTGCTGCGCTGGATCCTCATAAAGGGCACGTCTTCCTCACCAGTGGAGAAAAGCAACGACAGACCAAACAGAACCGACAGACCTGGGGGACTCAAAGGGGCACAGGGCCGTCTCACACTGGGTACTGCTCCTTTCTCCAAGAGAATATAGAATATTTCAAAATATCATATATCTATGTACACCTATATTTCAAACGGTACAAAGTCACTGTAGATCCAGGCTGGGAGAGAGGCGGCCATTCTTCCTGATCCGGAAACGTTGGGCGGAGGAGGCCTTTCCGAAGCTCTCTCCACCATGTTGCCAGGGCCCAGTCCCCTGGCTAGGGACGCTCCACCGCGCACCGCCCTTCTCTGCCCGCCAGAGTGCGCGGAGGAACTCCATTTGGCTTGTGAGTGTGTAAGACGTGTAAATTCTCAGATGCGTGATCCCCCAGCTCGGTTTTCCTTCTCGACAACGAAGGCTTCTGTTAGGTTCTTGGGTGAATCTGAAACCAGAGAGAGAAGACGTTTCAGGGAGGAAGGTACAACCCAAGGGGACAGGAATGGAACCAGCGGAAAAGGAGGACCCCTGGGCCTCTAAGGCACTGAGCCTCAGGTGGCCCGAGGCCTCATATCCTAACTCGGGAGAGCGGGGTCCTGGGGTGAGCAGAGCAGGGGACAGGCCCTGTGTTCCCTCTACGCATTAAACCCACTTTTTGTCACACCTGAGGAGAGACGTGCGGCTCAGTCTACCCGGGACGGGCTTCGCAGGGGGGAAGGCCATCTTGCTGCCCAGGGCCCTGTCCTGCTCTTGCTGTCTTGGATTCATGAGTCATTTCTGAGCAAGGGCCTGCGTTTTCATTTTGTCCTGGGAGCAGTCTGCACTTCTATGATGACAATCTGAACTTGTCACCTGGCCTACCGCTGTCCCTGAGGGGTGGCAGGAGGGAACGTCGCAGCTCTGTGGGAACACAGGGGATCCCTGTAAGGCTAGGAACTGTCCCTCAGTGGCACAGTGAAAGGGCATGAGAGCAGACTCCTGTCCCTGCAAATGTCACCGAGCTACCCCAGTAGGGATCCAGCGGCTCAACGGTGCAGACGCCCTCGTGCACTGGGGACCCCTGGCTGGGCACACACATGCCGACCCTAACTGGGCTGAGACCTCTTCTCCACGGTTCTAGGCTCATCATTCTTAATTCTTCTTCTTTTTTAATAGTTATGTTTTAGTTGTCGTTGTCAATACTTCATTTTTATTTATTTATCTTTATGTGGTGCTGAGGATGGAACCCAGGGCCTCTCACGCGCTGGGCAAGCGCTCCACCACTGAGGCACACCCCAGCCCCCATCCTTAATTCTTTACAGTGTCAGATGCTGTTCTGGGTCCAGGAGTGGGAAAGTGGCTGGCCAGGAGCAGAAGGCAGGGGGGGGTCCACACATCCGTCTTCTCAGCCTCTCCTTATCAATAGCGGGTCCTCCACGGTGGCTTCCTATTCTCCTGCGGTCTCTACCGCCTTGGGTGAACACTGTCTTCTTTTTATCCAAAGGAGAGAGGAAATGCCATTTCCAAAGGTGAGCTGAAATTGCCTCTTTTCTCCCTGACCCAGGTCCTCCGCCCCACCCTGCGGGTCACACCCCCAGCACACCCCTGAGACGTCCGTGCACAGAGGAGCAGAGCTCGAGTGGGTTTGCCGACTAGCGAGGGACGACTTCACTCACACCCGGGAAAACCTGCAGCCCTGTGAACTGCTTTATCCTCTGAGTCTTTCAGTATTCTCCGTGTCTTTTAACATCTCTCCCTTGTCCTTCAATTCCTGATCCTTCTTGATCACGACTGATAGGATTCCTTTAAAGACCTGCCTCTCTTTCTAAAGCCTTTCCATGCAAAGCGGGCTCTCGGGGCACCCTTGACCTGGTAGAAGAACCGGGGAGAAGATCTGCACCTGTCAAAGCTGGTACTTTGCCTTTCAGTCAGACAGACACACACCGTGTGGTCAGAGGTTTGTGAGCTCACACTCCCCACCGGGGGGAGGCCAGAGAGAGTGTGGACAGAGCAACAAGTTGGGTCGGACAGACAGGGTCACGGGAGACAGACAGCCCTGTGGTCAGCGGGCACTGAGCTTGCAGGGCCGCCGTCCATCACTGGACGTGAGTTCACACTGTGCACTAGCTGCCTGCTGTCTCCCGGGTCTGAGAGACAGCCACATACCAGATGGACCCTCCCCAGGTGTCACACGGGATTGAGTTCTGCTGCTTCAAGGTGCTGAGTTTCTTTGCACGTGACTTTGGTCTTCTCCTTGTTTCAGCCCCTTCCTCTTCCTGTCCTCAAACAGTGGGTCTTCCGTTTTGGGGTGGAATCACTACACTGTCGTCAGACACCCCAAGGTCCACTCTCCTCTGAGGAGGCCTGTCTTCACTGTAAGCATTTGTCCCCCGGGCCCGAGGTGCAGGCCCCCTCCTGAGCATGCGGAAGTGGCCTGTCGGGCTGTTTCTTCTGCTCTCCTTGTTTGTTAGGTCATTCTAAAGAGAAGAAAGGGCACTGGGTGTCTAGGCCCACGGGAAAACATGTCCTGTCCACGTTAGGCCCGTCTTGCTGCTGCGCACCAGCAGTGCAGAGTGATGAGGCCACCCAAGCAGGGACTGAACAGGACTGAGCAGGAACAGGGCTGCCATCGGGTGGGACACTTCGCCCGAGTGCCCGTTCTTGCCCAGCCTGCGGGCTGCCCGCTCTGTTCTCTGCAGACGGTCTTGGGAAGGTCAGTGAACCCCGGCTCCTTCCTGTCCACCGCATGGAGGGCCTCTTCTCTTCCTGGAGCGTGACGCTTTGCCTACGTCCCCCTCCGCAGCCCCTGTCCCCCCCTGTGCTCTACTGCCACCCAGATCCAAAGTCCTGATGGCTTTCCCTGAGACTGCGGCCTGTCACCTGGGCCAGTCCCTACTCTGGGGCAGCTGATGGTTCAGACGAAACACTGAGTCTTTACTCTCCTCCTGCGTAAAGACCAGAGCATGAAAATCGGGCCATCTTTGGCTTCTCCCCATTTCCAAGGCTTCTGAGAGTCTGTGTTGGGTAGTTATTTGGGAAGGGAGCTACCAAGCAGGAAGGTTTGAAAGTCCTAGGCAGCTTTCAGGCAATCGTCCCTACACGGGAGGGACTTTACAAACACCATCGTGCAAGAGAACTCTGCCACCATTGAATGACCTGGTGTCTTCCTCAACCCTGTCTTTCCTGTTCTTTGTTCCCCCTTGAACCTGCTTTCGGCATCGACCTTACGTGTAGGAGCAGAAGAGCTGGTTTTCCCTTCCATCGTCAGAGTAATAAAAATAGGTGTGAATAAACTATTCTAATGGGAAATTGCTAAAGGGCAAACTTGAGATGTGTGTTCTCACGTGTGTCCCGGTGCAGGCCCATGTGTGTTCTGGTGGGAAGAAACGCAGTGGTTCAGAGAAGTCAACGTCAATCTGCTTTCCCGCACGTCAGGCCTCTGTTGACCTGGGCACGCGCAGAATCCGTGGCTCTCACGTGTAATATCCAGACTTAATGGGTGCCTTAGTGCTTAGAACCCCGTACTTCATCTTGAACCTCTTGGGAAGGTCAGGGGAAAATGGTCCCAGCGCTGGAGGTCCCTCAGGGTAAAGAGGCACATCTGTCCCAGGGTCCCCTTTTCCTGTCTAGAGGTGGACTTGAGGACTCTCGCTGGATGGCAGTCGCTCACTGGGCTGCAGAGTGGTCTCTTATTGCTCTACGTGGAATGGTGTGCGCATCAGGACAGGCACATCTGCTTGGTTCAGACCCTCAGGACCCGACGGAGTTCCCGCACACCCTGGGTGGCACGAGGCCCACCTAGGGTGGTAGGAGCGGGGGCTGCATCCTCTGTCCAGGGTGCCTTTGTGACACCCCGATGGTTTTAAGATCCACTCTACAGAGGCCAAGTGAAAGGAAGTCACGCGGTCACAAGAAACACACAAACAAACAAATAAAAGCAGCAGGAACACTTTCTGGATTTTTTTCCCATTTTTTGGTTTGCTCCTGTTTGTTCCTGAGTTTCTCCTCTATTTTCCGGAGGGTCTCCTGCTTGGTCTCCCCAGTAAATCCTGGAACCACCTGAGGGCCTTGCTTGTCTTCAGGGCGATGGTGTCTAGAGACACCCTGAGAGCATGACTTACCTTGGATATGGGCGACCGGTTATCAACTGGAATGGAAAATAGAGATTTTGCAGGAAACACACCAGGAACCTGTTTACACCAACGGAATGGGATCCCAGGAATAAGGCCAGGATTCTGTGCATCTGGAAACAAACTGATTTGTGAGGAATCTGCAAACTCTTTGGTAAAATCTTCTCCAGGCAAAACACAACCAAAAGGAAACCAGACTCCAGCAGCTGATCCAGAGTGGGATCTGCAGGGGGCAGGCACAGCCAGGCTGGGTTCCCGATGATCTTCTGCAGGTGTTCCAGCAAAACCTCCTGGGCCACGCAGGTGCAGGCAGATGCACCTTAGCACGCTGGGAGGCTCAGAAATCCCACCAGCCACAGGCAGGGAGAGGTGGCCGCTTCCCGGGCCGCGTGGCCAGGGCCAGCAACTGAATTCCATGCGGGGTTTCCATTATTTTATATGTGAAGGAATGAGCTTTTATAGAGCACTGCGTGCCATTATTTTTGTATTCTGCATCACAAAGCTGCACAAACCAATTTGATTTACTGAACAGATGATACCAAGTGGTTCATGGAGATTAATGATACCGCGGTTGGAATCAGAGACGTTCTTTTAAACTTCACTCAGCTTTTTGGCAAACTGAAAGTTCAACATACTGTGATTTAAAGCTGGTGGAGATTGCTTTAAAAAATGCCCCAACAAATTAGAATATGCTCACATACCCTGCATATCAGGGCACGTGTACATGTGCCCTCCTGGTTGTTAGAGTGTCGTGGGCGCTCAGTGGTGAAGAGTCACTGTTCTAAGAGTCCCATGCTCCTCCCACCGCACCTCCTTTAGGGATCCAGATGGCCAGTCCCTATGGTAAGCGCTAGCCTAACGGGGCCTCTCCCCTCTTGCCCAGCATCTTGGCACCAATGCTTGTGGGTTGAATAGCCTCACCCTACAGTGGTTGCATATTTTGAAGATCACTCCTGATTTAGCCAGGAAAATCAAGGAAGATCATTCACTTTGCAAAAACCTTTTTAACTTTTCTAAAAGATCATCAAAGAATTGCTTTAAAGAACCTTTAAGAAATGACTGCACTCGAAGGCGGACCTTTGCAGCCGACCGGCCATCTGGATAGAAGGGGAGAGGCACTTATTTGATTAACATTCTGAGCACCACAGACGTTGAATGGATGATCGAGCACTAAACTCTCTGTTCCTCTTCCCTCTGGCTAGGGCCGCCTGGCTTTGCTTAGGAGCCCGTAACAGAAACACGGGACAGCTCAGTGTGGACAGGCCAGGCTCAGTCTCTGGCTCCTTGAACCTGGCTGAGTGTGTTTTCTCTTTTGGACACCCTTCCTTCAGTCCCAAAGCTTCTCTGGGTGCTGTCTGCACAACACCCAGGCAGAGTGTAGACGTCACACGCAGGGGACGTCACATGCAGGGGACATGGAGATGCGAGCACTCACCCTTGTGGTCTTGATCTTGTTGCCTGTGGCGCACATCCATCCCGAGTTGTCGGGGAGCGTCTTGCACTCCTCTCCCTCCAGGCAGGGCTCCATCTCGCACCACCACTTCCCGATCACTATGGAGGCTGCGCAAGAACAGGAAACCAGCGTTGGCAACTCACCGAGCAGCTGGCCCGACGCTGCATGCCCTGTGGGCTTCAGTGCTCCCTGAAGCACAAGTCCACCTTCATCCCCCTTGACCAGCTCAGAAACTTGGTCAGGGAAAATGAGATCTCAAGGTCTAAGTATCAGAATGCAAATAGGATTTCCTTGTCTGGTGTCACCACGTGGTGGCTTGTCTCCCTGTAGGCTGAACGCCTGGGGAAAGGGCAGGCTCACCTGGGGGGTCACCGGGGGCATGGGTGTCACTACCTGTGCAGATTGGGGACCTCGTGCTATTCCTTTCAGTGGGGGAGGTGAACAAGTAAGTGTTCCTGGGAATGGTCACCGTACTTTCAGCATCGGGCTCTTCCCTTAGCCAAGGTCCAGCAAAAATAAAAAGTGAACTAAGAATACAAAAGCAGAGTTGCAAAGTAGAAATCAAGGGTAAGAGCCAGGTGGGGTGGGGCGAGACTGAGGATCTACAACCCGGGAGGCGGGGCCGCAGGGTCCCAAGTCCAGGCCCGTCTCAGTAACGTAGTGAGACCCCGACTCAAAATACAAACACGAAAAGGCCTGGGGATGTGGGTCAGTGGTGACGCACCCACGGGTTCCACCCCCAGCACAAAACAAAAACAAACTCAAGAGTAATAATGACTCAGAGTCCTCCTTTACAGGACGGTTGCTATGGGTCGTGGGTGCCGTGGTCTGACACGGTGTGGGTGGGCTATGAGAACTGAACCCCTGATAGAACAGCCCCGCTTCTCAGGGTGACCTCAAGGATGGACATTAGGAAGCTGGCAGTGAAGTCCGTGTACTCACTCACATGCATGTGGTGTGATAATGAGTCTCTAAACCAGTGACTACACCCACACTTTACAATCAAGAAGCTCACACCCTCCTTAACACAGTGAAATAAAAACCACTTCTTCACTGTCACTGGTCATTTCAAGGGGGTAGCTCCTCCGGACCCGCCTGGCTTCCCCTTGGCCGCCCCCGCGTGGCCGCCAGCATTGTTCTGCGGCACTTTCAGGCTGGTTTCACTTTGGGCCAGGGCCCTGGTTCTTGAAGCTCACCCCCTCCCTCTTCACAAAGATGAGCGTCTGCCATGATGTCGGAATCTCAAAGCCACGAAGAAGAAGAAGCCCAAGGAATCAGTGTCACGAGGATCCATAGTGGACTGAGAGGGGTGGACACCACAGGGAAGTGGCCACCGGCCTGCCCCTGCGAAGGGACGGGACTGCTAACCCAGAGCAGAGCAGCCGCGACGTCATCTGTACCAGGATTTCCCTTGCACCCGTCTCCCATCCCTGGGAACTCAGTGCTCTGAGCACTATTGCTGTGCAGGATCACGCAGGCCGGCCGTGTCTGCTGTCACTGAAGCAGCGGTTTAGGGTCTTCAGGGTACCTCTGCCATACTGGATGCTCATTTCACACAGACCGAGGTGTGCCATGCAGCTTCAGGCAAGTGGCACCCAACATGGGGGGGGGTGAAACCTCGTGCAGGTCTGCAGACCCAAGACCACAGGATGCCCGGTCCACACGGACAGGACCAGCAGCAGACACACCCTCTTCTTCTTTTTTTTTTTAGTCTAGTAGCAGGCCCTGTCTCTGGGCATGGAGCAGCGGACGGATATGGCCATGAAAGGACTTGGGCAGTGGATAGGTGGCTGTGTTAAACAGGAGAGGCACATGTTTTTTGGCAGAAAGAGAAGCGTGTATTGCTGAAAGGGAACGGTGACTTCTGGGGGCAGGAGGTGGACGTCAGGCCCTGGCAGGGTACTGAGAACCTACAAGCCGTGGCTCCTTCCCGCGGGAGCTCAGCGAGAGACAGCCTGGCTGCATGTACTTCCCATCCTGGAGCTCTCCTGCAGCCTCCTGACATCTCCACACTGCGGCCTGGGCAGAGCAGGAGTGGGCCCTCTGCTGCGGCTCTGAGGGGGCCCCTGATACGGCAGGTTCTCACTCGGCTGCTCTCTTCCTCTCCCAGGGAGGCAGGCCAAGGAGCAGCCCCTGCCAGAGGGTGGCCTGCGCCTCCCCCTTCTGACGGGCTCTGCCCCCTCCTTCGGGCCTTCTCCTTCCTCTTGGAGCTGACCTACTTTGTTGCAAGCTCACAGAGCAGTTTCCCCATCTCCTAGGCATTAATATCCCCCAAATGAAAACGCAGACAGGAGGGGAGAGACATCTGCAGACCCCCGTGCCAACTTTAATTCGGTTGTAGAGGTCCGCTGGCTCTGGGGGGCGGGCTAGCTGAGCACAAGCTCCAGTCCTGCTTACAGCATCTAAACACCCACATTGCAGCATCCTCTTCCATGGTTCCATGGCGGGGCACACTCGGGCTTATTAGGATCATTTCATTCCTGCACCGTGGCTGCCCTAAATATGCCACTCCATCAACACTGTTGCTGTTTATGCCTTAACTGGTCCTGTTACCCTGTGTCTCTCTGGGTCCCAGGTCAAGGCAGTCTCCAAGCCCAGTTTTCCCATAAACTCCTCTGAACCGCAATACTTTCTAAAAGAGAGAGAATCTCAAAGGTTCTTCTTCTTCTCCCCAACTGGAAGCTACCTAAAATCCTCAGATTTTTGGAAGAGGAACGATCTGTTAGATTTAATAAAATGAGCCAATGTATCAATGTTATTTAACTGTTTTTATGATTTTTTTTCTTATGGAGATGCTCATAAGAATAAAAATGTAGATAATTATTGAATATCCTCCATCATAATAGTCAATGCGTTAAGGAAACGGTAACCGGCCCTGGCTGCCTCTTGCTGACCCAGAGCCAGGTACTCCCAGGGCACCTCTCCTGCACAGCGTCCCTGCCCCTGTGAGGTGGTGGCTGCTAAGTGCCCACTCGCAGGTGTGGAAATGGACCCACAGCAGGTGACCCTTCCTAAGCTCACCCAGGTGGGAAGCACAGGATCCACACTAAAATCCGGGGCCCTCACCCACAAAACCCACACTGCTCATCACCCCAGCTCTGTGCTCAGTATTCAGAGAACTTAAAGAAAATCATCGACTGCGGAATGAATGGATTCTCTGTGCTGTGTGAGTGTCGAAAACACATTTCGTGCCAAACACAAACACGTGCCTAAAACAAAAACGTCTGGTTTCTTGTGAAATCAACTTTAAGAACGTGGAGGCAAGAGTCAGACTATCACACTTGCTTTCTTCCTGGGCTGAGCTACACGTTGGGAAGCCGTGGGAAACTCGTGACGTGGACCCACAACTGCTGCGAGGGCTTTTTATGCTCTAGAAGAACTGAGTTAACTGAATGCCAGCTATAGATCTGACTCTCCCTGGTCTGCAGCGACTGGGGAGGAGGATCCGTCCGCTCCTTCGTCTCCTGGGAGGGACCATGTGCAGGAAATGGTGGATGTTCCACTCCTGCAAGAAAAGATCATCTTCCCTTGAGGGAGCTACAGAATCTCTGAAGCCCCCTTAATCATGAGTCTGGATTTCTCCCTTACGCCTGGTCACGCTGCGGTACAGCAAACCAGAGGCTGGGCTGTAACAGGAGAACCACCCCACCTCTCTGTGCACATCTGAAGCACAGCAGAAGTCCTTTTATTACTATTGTTACTTTTCTCGTTCACCCATGAGGCATTGTCCGGGGTAATACAGCCAGATACCAAGAAGCCGTGGGCCTGACAGAGCCAGCATCTGCAGGCTGCAGGCCCCGGGAGCTGCAGGCCCGTCCCACCACTTCAACACTACCTGACTCAAATGCACCCCCTGATCCAGTGAGAGTGGACGCAAGAGCAGGGCACCGTCCCGCCCCCAAGTGTCTCCGCAGGGAGCACGCCAGTGGGCGGGAGGAGCAGGCTCCCAGGAGAGGACGGGAGCAGAGCCCCAGTGAGACCAGAGCGTTCCCGAGAGCAAGGAGCTTGGCTTTCTTGGTTCTGAGGGAATGTGGCCACCGGAGATTCAGGACCTGGGTTCTGTGAGCAAAAGGAGGACAGGGCCGAAGGGGGCGGTGAAGACGCCTTTGGCAGTGGTGTGCAGGACAGCCTCAGGGAGGAGCTGGCGGGAGGAGGGGCAGTGCAGGGCCTCGGCCTTCCCAGGAGGAGGCCACGGCCTTGATTTGCACTGGGACTGCCCAGGACAGAGGGGAAGCCCATGCAAGAACACCAGAGGGCACGCTGCACGCAGCCTCCCACCATGCTGACCCCTGCCCACCGGTGCCACGTGGGCGCTCCTGGCAGGCAGGTACCACACTACCTCTGGGACAGGCATGGACAGCCCGGGACAGACAGGTTGTTTATGAATGAAGGATGAAGAAAGGAAACAGAGGAAGGAAAGGATGGTGGCCGTAAGCGGGGGGTTGAGGGTGTCATGGAAAGTGCTCTCAAGGCCCAAGTCGGGGTGCAGCATTGGGAAACTAAGCATCAGCTCCCACCGTCCCCGGGGCCTCTCCCCGCTGAGGCTGCACAGAGCACACTCCCTCCACGCAGACAGGCAGTTCTTCACAGTGCTGGGCAGCAAGGTTGTCCTTCAAGGTCACGCCCAACTCCCAGCCGGCTGCCATGGCCTGGGGAGCCCCAGTTAAGTGGTGGAACACGACTGTGTTTGCATCCCCAGGAGCCAGAGGGGAGCACATCAATCAGGACAGACCTCCAGCCTCATTCGTGTGCACCCGGCAGGACATTCAAGCAATGGCTGAACTGTATGGAGGAGGGGACCCTTTCCCCAGCCCCCCTTTTGTACAGGTTGCCGGAATAGCTGTTATGGTGCTTTTCTCCAGAGAACCCACGGTGACTTCCTGCCTGTTGTCTTTATCAACGCAGAGAGAAAACCCAAGGCCCCGAACACCTTCCTGCAGTCGCTCCACAGCTGCCCACGAGCCCACGTTGATGACCTGATCCAGAGGGAGGCACCGGGCATCTGCCAAGCCCTTTGGCCCTGCGTGAGGGACAGAGGCCTGGGAAACTGCTCTGCCCCTGGTGGAGGCACCGGCCTTGACTCTGGGTCCCTGCCCTTCCAGGGAGG